GACTGTGCACTCTCCCGGGAGGGAGGGCGTGTTGGATTCGATTCGTACCGTATTATAGACCGGGATTTTCTACTATTATCATGTATCTACATACCATGCCTATACCTATACTAGAGCTTGTATATCCACGCATGGGGGCATTGGGGCCGTTGAAGGAAAGACGAAGAAGGAAAGAAAGAAAGGAAGAAAGAAAGAAAGAAAGAAAGAAAGAAAGAAAACCCTAGATGTACGATCAGCATCGTACGATGGAGAGAGTACATAAAGTAGATACTGTGCAACATATCAAGATTCGATTTCTCAAATAGCTGCGAATTGAATTGCCGATCGAGAAGAAAAACAACCAGTTCGTCCCGAGAGCCTTCACACGAATCATCCCATCAAGTATGTAGGCATCATAGGATGGATAGGAGTAGTTGGTAGTAGATCCTTCTGTGAACTCCTGTGGATGCCCTAACTGGGTACCCGAGACGTACAGCACCTCGAGTATGTATGATATGTATGTTGATTAGTATTACCTACGGCCTATGGTACTTGCAGTATTCACGGTCACTCCGATATCGATATCGCCTGCTCAATGCTCACTGCTGCTGTAACGTGTAGTCCCGTTCCACGAATAGATAAGGCTCGAGAGGCTTGACGGCGGCGGAATACCGTTCCCAGGTCAGTGCGTTGCCTCGCCTTGCGCGGATCCCGGCGCCAATCGTAAGGCAAGGCATGATCTCAAGAGTCGAGGGTCAAGAGTCAAGGGGAGTAGGTACCGTACCGGTAGGACACCAACAGGTTGAGCACACTCGTCTCGAAAAATATCGAGTTCTGGAGAAAGATTGTTATCATACCGGCGATGGCCGAGCTTCTACAGCGGATCATACGGCATGCGGATCAAGCCGCGGAAGGTCCGTGGAAGACCCAGAGAAGCCGTATGCGCTCGGCACGGCACGGCTCGGGAAAAGATTGCCAATGCCAATGCCAGTGGTACAGAGCCGAGAAAGCTGATGCTATATGTGAGTTGGTCGGTCAACGTGGAATCGATTTAGGTATGATTAATAGAGAAAGAAAGATAGAGAATAAGATGGATGGTAACCACAGCCTCGCGCGGTGAGCGATGATCAAGGTCGATCTGGGAGAACTCACAACCGCCGGTCTGTCGCCAAGTGCGGAAAGGGCAAGCGGACGGGGACAGTTGCCAGTATGTAGAGTACATAGCCACTCACCAGTCGCCAGTTGCCAGTAAGCTCGAGACTCGGCAGCGAGAACACTCCGAGCACGGCGTTGTTCGCTGACAGGTCATGACATGCCGAGCTTCATGAGCTGAAGGCATCCCCGTATATATCACCCATATTCGTATGTAGAGTACTCTACTCTACTTATTACTTATCCAGCAGGTCCCCCAGCAGCCAAGCCAAGTGTCACATCGACAAATTCTCCGATCCCTGTAGTTAGTACCAGCCTGTCCCTACCAGCCTGTACATACCAGTCTGTACCAGGTCCCTATCCCTATCCCCTATCCCTATCCCTTCCCTTCGTTCCTTCGTTCTTTTTCGGCAGCTCTGCCGGTCATGTACGGTATGTACGTCATACAGGGTCCCCCCCCCCCCCCGCAAAAAACGATGACGAAGAAAAAATAGGTGGCATATGTAGACTCTAGAGTACATACATGTCTCCTAATGTATGTACTGCGGTCGAGGACGAGGCTGCCAGCTAAGTATGTAGGAATGTACTTATCGTACGTGACAGCTGCAGTGCCCGTCTCGAAGAGGAGAACGCACGCGGGTGGGGGATGGGATCGGGGGACGCGGGGAAGTTTTCGTCCTTCCACAGCTCCAGTGCGGTGCGCCAGAGAAGATACTCCACATACCTACATACAATCGCGAGGAGCGCTCGCTGCTGCTGCTGCTGCTGCAAGCGAGCAGGGGGGCCTACGCCGGAGGGTGGGGGAGGGAGTGGGGAGGGGACATCTGCACGACACAGCAGGCATACATATCATACATACATCATGCCCACGAAATTAAATTCGTCCAATGAATGGGTGGTGGAATCCCTGACCTGGCTGGCAGTGGCCTGGCCGCCGGCGGGGCTGGGAAACAAAACAAATTGCAACGATGGTCAGGCAGGTACCCGTTTGCGCTCATGGATGATGGGGCATTGAGGGGCGAGGGGAGAGGGGAGAGGGGCTGCTGGGGGCTCGGGGGTGATGGTGGTCTATAAACGGCGTCGAAAAATAATAGCGATAGTTATAGCTGCCTCCCCGGCGACGGCCTGAACCTGAACCTGAACCTGGACCTGGGCTGTGTACACAGGGTGCAGTCACTCAGTGCGACCCGATGTCAGTCCATGTACTCAAGTAGTAGCAATCGGTACGTGCTCCGCCGCTGCCGCCGAGATCATTCTACCGAACGTCGGGAAACCCACTGCGCCATGGGACGATGGGGCGATTGTGGCCTCCGTTCACGTGCGACAAACGGATGCTGTTGTTCGATATTATATGATACAGTGCACTACCGGTATCAGATCAACCGGACCGTGCGCATGGACCTAAAAGGCCGGCACCGAAGAAGGTTCAGAGTTCAGAGCGCAAACAGTGGCCGGAACTACTACATACCACTAGTTAATCGCGGCGGTAACGGAGAGCATTCACCGAGGACGACAACGCTGAGCCAGGAAGCCTCAAAGCGATGGGCACGACTCACGGGAGGAGCTCGGAGATCCGGCCATTGTGCCTCTGCCTCCAATAGGGCCAAGTCGGCGAGTTGCCTCGCTGTCGCCGGCCAATCCCTATCGCCGTTCGTTCCATAGCGGGATACCGACATCTCCCGAGACCAGCGGGTTTCTGTGAGCGCCGGCAGATTGACGCACTCGACGTATGTGTGGTAACCAAAAAGCCGACAATTCGCTCGGAATATTCGTCTGCGGGATTACCACTCTAGCTTCTAGCAGCACTACCGTAGTTACTCTAGTCAACTATTAGCTCCGGCTTCTCGATAAATGGATGTTGAGCGTTGGCGATGGTACTAGTTAACTAACTAGCGCCCCCAGTCAGAAGTGCAGTGCATGCATGCATACAGAGGTACGGTAGGCACTCGAATACCGCACGGTCACTAAAAAGACGTCAGAGATCGTGTTATTTGGGCTCGGGGATTCACGGATCCTGTAGGTGTAGTGCTAGGTGCGTCTACCTAGTACGTCAGTAAAAGTCAAAAGTTGTGCAGCCAAAACAACTGCCGGCGATGGCGTTGGCTGCATGATGGAGGTAGGTATCGTGGTCGCGGTATCGTGGTCGTGGTATCGTGGTCGTGGTATCGTGGTCGTGGTTGTGGTGGTTGTGGTTGTGGACGGTATATAGCTCTAGTGTAGCAAAGCTTGAGTTTGAACTTCAGGTCGCAGAACCTAAACCTTCCACGGGTTAGCCGGCTGACAGACAGCACAATGGCATTGCTCCTGCGCTCGATCCGAGAATGCCAAGGTTCGCATCGGGACACTTCCGCCAGCAACCGTATGGCGGAAGTAGATATCGATGTATGTAGTCGCGGGCCGTATCCATGCATGTCACGAGTGAACTGTATATCTCGATAGCCCCCCCAACAACCTCTCCGCTCGCCACATGGTGAGCGACGGACGAGCGGACGGACGGGGAGAATGATCAACAGGTCAAATGACCGGGAATGCGCGAGAGGGGGGAGTTTTTTTGGGGGAGAGGGAGGGGCACCTCGGGCTAGTATTATGCAGGTACCATACCTTCCATCTTCCATACCTACCATACCATGCCATACCGAACCTACCGTAGCTACCATACTCACACCCACACCCACACAAGTTTATACATACACAAACCTGCAGACCGGAGCCAACGAACGGACGTAGAGGACAGAAGGCTTCAAAGTGCGGTTTGCATTGATTACAACTTACAAGAAAAACAAAAGCCTGTGCTTGGACTTGGCCGGACCTCTGCGCTGTACTGGGGCCGGTCACAACTCCGGCTCCAGATCCAGCTCCAGATCCAGCTCCGGCTCCAGCTCTCAGAAAAATCGCTATTCGCCATAGTAGAAACCGAGTCCGCACTGCGTAGTGTGGGGGAAAGGTTTGGGTTCCACACGACTACCTACGGTACTAACTAGTAACGCTCGAGCGCCGAACAGATCGCGGATGCGAAACATATATGAGTTATGTAGAGATGCATAAAATAAAGATCCTCTAGACCTACAGCATCGTCATCAAGGCAAGTGTGTGTGTGTGTGTGTGTGTGGCACAGAACAACTAACTGTTTGGCTGAACTAAGTCACTATTCGCTGAGAAGAAGTATCTACCAAAAATACGTATGTACATACAGGTAAAGTAAGGTTCCGGTATTTCTCGGACCGTCCGTCGCCGCCGACCGCCGACCGTTGACCACGGAGAAGCAGAAGATCCCGATCCCCGGCTCCCGAAACTCCCCACTCGGACCTGAGACCTCCAACGCCAGCCAAGTAGCTTGTGTAAATAATGTATGATATATATGATGTATTTATTTGTGCATGTATGATATGTAGGCGTATGCTGAGAACAATGTATGCTGAGAAAAAAACCAAACAAAGCAAAACCAACCAAAAACACAAACGTGAACAAACAAACGTGAACAAACAAACAAACAAACAAACAAACAAACATGCAGAACGGGAAGAGCGGCGAACGGCGAACGGCGCGGAGATAAAATGCAGGGCCGGGCGTATATATATAGAGCAGTACCGGTGGTCGGTGCAGCAGCAGCGCCGCGATATGCGAAAGACAAAAAAACATGGAAAATATAAATATATAAAAAAAGGAAATCAGATCAAACGGCGAGCAGATCAGAATCAGAGCAGAGCAGGACAGGTACTTCATACATCACACAGAAAAGAAAAGAAAAAAAAAGAAAAACGAAAAAAAAAAGTAAACCAAAAATAAACAAATAAAAACACAAGACATCAACAGTAGAGTAGCAGCAACTGATCGCTCAAAAAGGAAGAAAAAGCACCCGAAAACCAAAAATAATAACACAAAACCCCCCTGATCCCAGTAGAACTAATACTTTCCCCACCACCTATAGTTACGCCAATCTCGTGCAAACACTCAACCCAAAACAAAAAAGACATTAAGAAATAACGACGACGGAATACAGAGCACGGCGACGGGCTGTTTCGCAATATACTTAGGGAAGAAGAAAAAAACAGCAAATAGGAAACTCCAATGAAAAGGAAATGCAAAACGAGGACGAGGACGGTGAGGACGACGAGGACGACGAGGAGGACGAGGATGATGGAACGGATACAGCTGGCAGCAATGTCGGCGGCTCCGGTATCGGGGCGAGCTCGAGGAAGCTAAGAAACGAAACGGCATATCGGCGAGAAAACGATTCCCATGCTAGGCAGGCGGCCGGGCTGTAGTGATGGTCGATTCTCGCAAATTGCTTCGTCCATCCTCCTCATCCTCCTCCGACGAGCCTAAGCCTCGCAGTCGTCGGCGGCAGCAGCATTCGTGGCGGAGAAGATGAGGGCATCGTACTCGTAATCGTTATCGTGGCCATGGTTATATGCGCGGAGCATTGAAAGTTCCGACGGCACCCGGAGTCGGGCCGTCATCGGACATTGTCGGCCAACGTCCGCCCCATCAGGCGGCAACACCGAGGCCAAGCTTACGGCACCGCTGCCACCGCCGCCGTAGCAGTAGTCACCCGTGCTCTCATGTTCAAGTTCAAATTCAAGTTGTTCTTCATCTCTGCCCGCAGCCTGTTATTTCCGGCAAAAACAAAAACTCGTTAGCTACTGGAATTCAACCGTTTCCTTCCACTTTTATTTTTCTTCTTCTGCTTCTGCTTCTTTCCCGCAGAGGCAGGGCAAGGTGGTAATGGGGAAGGGTTGCTTACCACACACTCGGCGCAGGCGGTATTGTTCACCCAGACCCAGTTGTCACAATTGTGCGTATAGAAATTCTTGCAGCGATACCTGAAGTAGCCGGACGAGGCCTCGGAAGCTAGAGTAAAGGCCATTTTGCTAGATGGAAGCTGCTCAGATGGGACTCCGAAGTAGGGACTTGGAGGTTTTTTGCGGATGATGCTGAGAGGAAGGCGATGGAGATGTTGCGATGGGGATTGAGGCGGTGGTTGATTGGTTGCTTGCTGTTATGGACTGACACGAGCAACAATCGAAGGCGGAAAGCACGAGTGTGTGTGAGTGGATGTTTGCGAGTTGGTATTGAGCTTGAGAGGCCGATTTGATGCTGGACTGGGAAACAAGAACCTGAGGCGGGGGAGGAGGGCGGGCTTTATGTAGCCATGTCGAGAGGAGGAGGAGGAGGAGGGGGGGCGCCATAGGTCGAGCCTTCATAATTTTTCCGACAGCCAGAGCATCTGCGTGGCATCAAGGGTGTTGAAGTCGAAACCAATCCATAAGTGGTGGGGTGTAATGATATCGTGGTGTAGTAGCGTACCCAGAGTACTAGTCGAGCGAAGGTACCACGCCATTATTAGGGTCGGGATGCGGTTCGCTGTCGCAGCTGCGCTCTTGAGCCGCTAGTAATAAGTAACGTTCGGACCCTGCCAGGAAGTGTCTTGTCCAAACATATGCGCCACAGTGAGCGAGAGATCAGAGATCGAGGGCGCAGCAGCAGCAGTGCTGCAGTGCAGCAGTGTACGCAGAGAGCAGCAGCAGACAGCAGCAGTAGCAGTGGAAGTATCTACTCCAGCAATCTAGTACATACTCCAGCAATCTACAACCGATCAAATCGAGCTTGGGCAACCAGACCCGTGAATGCGGATGCGGATATAGCAGCGCATTGCTGGTCGCTGGCCATGGTTGGCAGCCCTGGTCAGAAACTCCGTATGAATGCAGGGCACCCTCGGTCGGTCTCGACTCGAAGGATACCCCAGATTCGACTATGCGAGTATGATTAAACAAAAAACAACCCCTCCAGGTTCGACTCCTACCACCTACTACCACTTACTACCACCACCACCACCACCACCACCACCACCACCACCACCTCCACCTCCTACACCACCACCACCACCTAACACATCCACCTCTTCCACCACCCCAAATACCAGCGCTGAATATGCACTGTCTGACGGCCAATACACTCTGCGTTCTAGCGCGCGACCTGCCCTGCAAGTCGGGGCCCTTCTCTAACTAGAAACCGCTGGCTGCCCTCCTACATACAACCACAAAACTTACTTACTCCCTCCTTTCACACCGACCCACCGCTGGACTATCGGGCTTGCTTTTGTTGTCAATCTCGCCTTTGCTTTTTCCTTCCCTTTTTTCCTTTCTTTTTTTCCTTTCTTTTTTTTCCTTTCTTTTTTTTCCTTTCTTTTTTCTGCGCTCGCGAGGCTTCGCGTGCGTATTCTACGACACCTTGTTCTAACAGATTCCCGTTCACCGCACGCCCCCGACTTGCCTACGTGGCCGCTGCAAAAGGTAAAAAATTAATAAAAAAAAACAATCATCTCCTCGGGCGTGTATGATGCCACAGACTCGGACGGGCTGGGCGGCCGAGCTGATTTCCTCACCGCCAAAGCCAACATCTCGTGTTCCTGCGTGCATGTCGTCATTGAGCCTGCGAGAAACGGAGCAGAGTTACGGATGGCTTGGGCTTCGCTGTTGGGCCCGCTTGTTGCTACCAGCCCGGTTGCTCCTACTCCAGCCAGTGCTCCGGCTGCTCCAGCTGCTCCGCATCTCCGCATTTGAATCCGAGCGATAGAGACACAGTCTCATCCCCAAACATCATCTGGCTTCCTAGTACCATTCTGTTGCCCTCTTTCCTCATTCCGGATGGGTTGTTGTTTTCCATGTAGCTGTACATACTGCCTCAATTGCAAGCCTGTGGCACCGTCCGGATCCCAGCACCGGGCGGAAGTCTCATTGTTGCTATCCATACGAAAATTCTTAGCGTCCACGGTCACACAAACACCCCTCCACCATTACCACCACTGCACCACCACTGCACCACCACCACCACCACCACCACCGTTTGACCGACGCCAGGACGCGGACTCGCAGACATGCTCGATTTCTCGTCTTCTGCCGTGCAGGGGGGCATGTCTTCGAGATGCCAACTGGAACATGTGTGTCTCGTCAGCACGCGCAACCAGCCTATCACTCGTGAGATAGCTCGATGGATGGATGTTCTGCTGTCTGTACGTCTGTCTGTCCGGAATTATTTATCCTGGTATCTGTATTTGCCTAGAACCACACACCCCCCATGCCATTCCACGGCCACCTGGGGGATTCGATGGAGCTCGCAGCTTGCCAGAGGAATCATCACTTCATCAATGTACTGTTCCGGCCTAGTAGGCCTCAGTCCTCTGAGAGTTACCAGTAGTAAGGAGATGATGGTTTGTCATTGCCCATCCTGGTCACCATCGGGCCGCGCATGATCGAGTCGGTTCATTTCATTTTGTTTGTCGGCCCTTCCCGTACGGATATTTTTGTATTGGACGATCCCGCCCTGGCCTGTCCGTTCTTCTGAAACGTCCTAGGATCGCAGGTGTGCAGGACTCGCAGGACTCGCTGGAGCTGGAGGTATGTAGAGTACATATTAGGGCTCCCTGACCCAGCTTCCCCCGTTGTCAGAACAAGGCTGAAAAAAAACAAAACAACATCCAAGACAACGCAGCAACCACCAACAACGTGGCCCGGGCTTGAATGGAAACACTAGCCGATGGTCTTGGATTTACATCTCGCTCACTTGGTGGTCCTCGTACAGGCGGTGGCAGGCGACGCCTTCGCGCCCCGCCCCTTTCCATCCCCCCTCCCTCCTCCCCAGATTGTGGGGATACGGGCTAGCTAGAGGGCTGGCCATCTCTATCTTCTCCGGTGGACTGCCAGTATGCAGGCGATAATCTATTCTCCCTCCTACGAACACACCCCGTCCATCATCGCTACTGTCGACTGTAAGGCTTGAGCCTCCCCCCTCCCTCTCTCTTCCCAACCCCCCTCTCCTCACCCCCGCTCCAATGAACGGAACACATCTACCCGGACCGCTATGTACGGTCGTGTTGGAGGTGCTTGGACATCGATCTTCGCTTAGCCCCATCCCCAGAATCGAGTACCTCAGACATATGTAGCAAACCGCGGATACCCTACGCCATGGACTTGGCAAAGTACCGGTTGGGCTCTACGGTCGGTACTGGCGTGTAAGCATTCTAGAACTCGGCAAATACCCGCGAATACCAAATCGACTTACCGCCACACAGACCAGCCAAACTAACCAGCCCGCGCGCAATGTCCGACCCCCCCCCTTCCATCCGTCCAATCGACGGCCGAGCTCGCGACCATGCCTCTAAGTGACAGTGACTTTGGCGGACGAAAGACAACCAGCTGCTTGGGAGGGGGGAGGGAGTGCGCGCAGGAGTGCGCACAGGAGAGACAGAGTGTTCAGAGGAGTCGGCGCGAGTTCTAGGCCAGGCTGCCACAGCTACTGCTCCACTTGCGAGAGCACGAGGGAGGGGGTGGGAGGTGGTATGATGCTGGCAGGTGTTCGGGAGTTTCGACGAGCTCCTCCAGCAAGACACAGCATTGATCTCGGATTGCTGATCGAGGCGGGGGGGAGGGAGTGGAGCGGGGGGGGGGGGGGCGGTAGTCGAGAAGGGCGAATGCCAGGAGAAGGCCCTGCCTGCGGCAAGTGGAGACAACAGGACAAACAGATCCAAAGAAAGGCTCGGTTCCGATTGGATTCCGGACGGCATTTGCTCGAGCTCACGTCCACGTCAATATGTGCCGGCGAAGATGGATGGGGTGCTCTCCCCCCCTCCCCGACCGCTCCTCTTTCTTTCTTTCCCTACGCATGTATGTGTGTATGTACGTACGAGCTGCTGCACTTGGAGGGAAAATCGGCAAGACGAAAGAAAGCTAGAAAAGCGGAAAAGCTACCTAGAACGAAGAAAGAAAGAACGAGAAGCAATTCCGGCCGGGGGGGTGAGCAATGTTAGCTAGCCCCAAAACCCCAAGATTACTTGGTACACTGATTGGGCTTAGCACCCGAAGATCTGGGCTCGATAAACTTTGAGGCCACTGACTGGATCCCCGATCCCTCCTTGGTGACAGATCGCGATTGAATGGCCAGGAATATCCCCCCTCCCCCGTCCCCCCTCCCCCGTTCCCTTATCCCCCCCCCTCCCCTCTACCCATGGCCACACGATGCTGTGTGACGTGGCTTGGATCCGCTCGGGATGTTCGACCGAACGTTTTCTCGTCTCGCCGCTTCCGTCAGTGTGGTCGAAGCTCAGTCCACCAGCCCAACCAGCCCAGCCCTCCGGCAGGACCAGACCAGACCAACACTTTTTCGGATCCCTTTTTCCGATGACGTTGTCTACCTCCCCCCATACTCTTGCTGCCGATTGGCCTATACTGCCATCGTTCTGGAAACGAAGCCGGCGGATGCATCATCATCATCACCCATCATCGTCATCATCATCATCACGTTCGCAGCGGACCATCCGGTGCAGTCGTCCGATTATTTTATTTTATTTTTTTGTTTGTGGGGAGAGACAGAGAGAGAGGGAGAAAGAAGAAAAAAAAGAGATTATGCACACCAGAGCACCTGCAATATGGAAAACCCCATGTTTTTACACCGCTGGCTGCAAACGATTCCACTCTGCAAACGCCGATCCCGGAGAAATGGTCAGGAGCAGCGCGGCCGACCCTTGGTGCTGTAGGTGCAGTGCAGGGCAGCGAACCTGGCAATCCGGAAACAATTCTTGGGCACGGCATGAATGAGGACTGACGGACTCGCAGAGGAGGGAGGGCTCGCAACGGCGAGAGGAATGGGTGGTAGGCGGCTGTGTTGGTGGTGGTGGTGGTGGGGGGAGGAGCAGGCTGCAGGCCTCAGGCTCGGCGAATGGAGGCTGTGATACCTACCGTACGGTGCTAGGTGGGGCCTGCTGCCAGCAGTCTTTGATTCGAGTGTCCGGTCTGGCCTGCGCAGCGCGCCGGGTGCCTGCGTAGGAATTGATAGCCGAGTTCACGAGCTGCAAGCTCAGGCTGGTTCGCAATCTTTTACCTTGACATGGAAGCAGCGACGAGTTGTCTGTCGGCGGTTTTGTGTTTTTTTTATTTTTGCTGGGCGGCAACCCGGCACATTCTTACCCGTCCGAGGTGTTGGAAGCGGAGGAGCGAGGAGCGGAGCCTGGGGGGATGATGTGGGTGGGCGTACGAGAAACTTGACGACGACGAGGACGACGGCGGAGGAGCGAGAACCTGAGTCCGTCGGCCACACTCACAGAAACGGACGGACTCACGGATCATCGGACCCACTTTCCAGCTCCGATGGGAAACGAGTCCTGCCTTCCGAGACGCTTTGCTTCACG